TGTGTTATGGGGCCCTCCAGTGTCTGAGCACTGTGGTGCCCCATTTCGACAATCCCCACCGACACAGCGCATGCGTGTGGCGGTGGTGCCCTTACGGCTCCAGCCGGCACTGCGCATGCGCGGGACGGTGGTGCCTTCACAACCCAGCCAGCACTGCGCATGCGCGGGACGGTGGTGCCTTTACAGCTCCAGCCAGCACTGCGCATGCGCGTGACGGTGGTGCCTTCACGACCCCAGCCGGCACTGCGCATGCGGTTGACGGTGGTGCCTTTTCAGCTCCAGCCGGCACTGCGCATGTGCGTGACGGTGGTGCCTTTACAGCCCCAGCCGGCACTGCGCATGCGCGTGACGGTGGTGCCTTCACAGACCCGTCAATTGTCCGCCCTTTGAGAGAGGCCGTAGCTGCTCTCAGAAGGGGAACAGCTGACGGACTGTTTATTGTTTTTATTGTTTTTCTTTTCATTTTCTCGAGCTGCGCCCTTGGCTCAAAGCCTGGATGCGTCAGCGGAAAATGTTTTATGACAGAAAAATCAATAAGTGTGTGACATGTGTTTATGCGGACTTAGACTTAGAGCTGGGGAACCGTAGACTTCCAGCTCTGTCACAGAGGGGAGAAGGAGGGGTTGTCACGCCGCTCGCTTCTTCTTCCTCGACTGCTGGCCGAAATTCTGGGTTGGCTGCGCTTGGGCTGCAGCCGGAACCGGAGATTTTCTAGGCCAGCTCGCCCTCGTCCCCTGCCTGGGCTGGGGACTCGGGGCGGACTGCGACCCATGCGTTTTCGGTATTTTGAACCGAGCAGGGTTCGGGGCAGCTTGGACGAAGGGCTGCCGCTGCGAAGGCAGCGGCTGGGCCCTTCGAGGGAGGCAGAGGTGGAGGGCCTCGTCCTCATTCTTTTTCGACTCGCATCTCCTCTGCATGGAGGCAAGAGCGGAGCCGAAAATCCCCTCGGGAACGATGGGCATGTCAAGCACATCCTCCTTTTCCCGGTCTGGGAGGTTGGTGAGGTTGAGCCATCTAGCTCTTTCCTGCACCACCATGATCCCCATTGTTTGGCCCGTGGCCTGGACGGCGCAGCGTTGGACACGGAGACAAATGTCTGTGACCGCGGCCAACTCGTCCAGAACGGCCGGTCCAGGATCACTCGACATATCCTCACAGAGCTCCGCTTGGTATGCGGTTAGCAGTGAGGAAATGTTCAGAGCCCTGGCGGACAACGCTGCGGCTCTGTAGGACCGTTCAGTCATGGTCGACTGGAAACGGTCCACCTTTGCTGGCAGCGTGGGGTTCCTGCTTGGTGACGGGCCCATCCTCGGTAGGAGGTGGGCTGCCACCAGCAGTTCCATCGGCGGTATGCGGAGCAGGCCGAGCCTCTCCATACCGTCGCAGTCTAGGGAGGAGGCACCCTGGATTGGGGCCTTGTTGCTAAAGGGTCGGTCCCTCCACGAGACCGACACCTCATCCAACATCTCTGGGAAGACCGGGAGGAGTTGCCTCCTTGTCCTCGTTGCTTGGGGAGAATGTTTCCCCTCGTAACGGGACCTGGCGGTCTCCTTGGCCATTTCGGGCCACGGGTAGTCTAGCCTGGACGCAGCGCGCTGACACGCGGCGTGCAGGTCCATGCTCAGACAGGGCGAAGCTGGTGTGCTATCGCCCGGGAAAGCAGCCATCGCTCCCTGCTTTGCCGTTTGAGCCGATGACATGAAGATATCTTCTTCTTGCTCATCCGAATCAGACAGGAGGGACTCAGAGGTGTCCTCTTCGTCCTCCATGTAGTCTAATTCCAGGACATCCTCCGCGGGCGAGACCATGGTGAGGTCTCGCCGGGAGCTCCCGCCTGGTGAGGCGTGGGGCTCCGTTCCCGCGTCTCTTGCCGCCACCGGGTCCCGGACTGACACTGCGTGGGATCCCGGTTCCGCAGCTGCCGCTGTTAGTGAGCCCCAGACCGACACAGTGAGGGGCTCAGTCTCTGCGGCGGACGCCCCCGTGTCTTGATTGCCAAACAGCGAATCAGTGGACATGAGGGAGTCCTGTTCCAACAATCTAGCTTGGTGTGCTAGCCGTCGGTGGAGGCTCTTTCGGATGAAACGGGCACAATGCCTGCACGAGCCGGGGTTGTCGATAGCCTCCTGGGCGTGTTCCAGCCCGAGGCAGGACGAGCAGACCTGGTGTGAGTCTGTGCCTGCTATCTTCAACCCGCAGCTGCATGACCGAGCCTTCGAGTCCCTGATTCCTCTGGTGTGAGGGGGAGAGGCGTCCATCTTGTTCGCCTCGTGGCGTGGAGAGGACCCGCTCGTAACAGGTACGTCGTTGAGAGAAAAGTGTTACCAACCCGTCCTTAATCCGGAGAAAAAGGGACGGTGTGGGTCCTTTGTTCTCAAAGAATATTGACTGGTGTGTCAATATACTTCTAATCCTTTTCTCCTCCGTGAGAGAGAAAAAGAAAAGCGTCCTCGCTACCGTGGTGTTGTTAGTAAGGGGAAGCTAGCTAGCAACAGGTGCGTAGCTAGCTTGAGAAAAATCAAAACCTTACCTTACTTTCCGGGGAAAGAAACGTCGAGGTCGATTTTAATACTAACTGCCGTTAGTATTACCGTCTTCTTGCGAAGCAGAAGGAGTAGCCGGCGAGCGCCCGTCGACCGAAATGTTTTGGATTTGGGTTCAGTCTGTGGACTGTTAAGCTTGTCCGGCTACTGTAGAGATGTGCTCTGAAGCGAGAAGAGGTGCTTATTTTGAATGACGCATGCGTCGTGGCGCAAGCTACTTATAGGGGGTGATTCCCTGACGTTGATGTCAAGGTCACCAGCCAATCAGGATTGGCGTAATGAGATTGATGCTTCTGTTTGCGCCGCGATGAGGCGCATCCCATAGTGAGACATCGAACGGAGTGTTATGAATGAGAACTCAAAACATATCCAGGATAGATTGAACTAGATTTGTAGTATAGGCCCCAGGAGTGGCTGGCTGGATCAAGTTAGCTACCTAGCTAGTAGCAAGCACGTTAGTTAGCAATACAGTCTTAGCCTTGTCATTTTTATTAGCCTTAACATGAAGTAACATCAAGTAACCCAAAATGTTAAACAGTAAGAGTAGTTGTCATATTTCGTGAACCCTTTGAAGAGTACTGTCACACCGGTGTGATCATTCTATAATACATCATTTAAGCCCGGGGGAGAAATGCTAACGCTAACGCTACATTAGCACCGACGATCTGTTCTACTTCATGCTATCTGCACAAATGGTTGACAATAAACATTACAAATATCAGGCAGTTCAGAGAGAATCAAAGGAAGGAAGGCAGGCAGGCAGCTTTGCATGACATTCTTCTGGACGTGTTTCATTGTGGTGATAGTGAGGGTAGTCAATCACTTTTTTGACAAGACAGTAGTGACGGCTATCTTGGTGACGTGTGTTGTTGTGAGAGTCTGCGAGACCAGAGATGTAGTTCATTAAGCGTTTCACACAAAAAAATGTGTTACTTCACAGTTTTACGACAAATTTATTTATTTTTTACTTGCAAAATTATCTTTTAAATTGACAAAAATCATATGTGTAATTCATGGCACAATTCAAACGGGATCGAAAAATAATCTTTCTCTCTCCATTGACTTCAATACATAATTTTTCCAAAATAAGGTCCCATGGAGCTCCCCCGGAAAGGGAGGGACTTTGCCACTCTATTCTCCGCTGTGGCTCTTTTTCTCCCTCCCCGAGGCAAGCGTTTGCGCCTCCTGCTTTAAAACAAATTAATAATGACTCTATATAATCATATTTAAGGGATAATGTGCAGCGACACGGTCATTATGGGGGAAATAACACCGACAGGCTGATCAGGAGCCCGACGCGAAGCGGAGGGATCTAGATCGGCATGAAGGCTTATTACATGGCCACATTCTCAACAAAGTAACTATATGACTCCCAATATTAATTGAAATGCTTTTATGGAATTAGAAAATTATTTTATTGATTTAAAAAATAGTTGTATTGATTTAAATTGACATGCATCCGCTAAGAAAAATAGTCCGTTGTTACTGTTTGAACTAACGTAGCAACGGCAGGAACTGCTTCGATAGCGTTTTTGAGGAGCTTTTTGATTACAGATTTGAAAACATCGTTGCTTGCTTTAAAAGTAGCACAATTCATTATGTCAAACCTTGGAAAGTATCTAGGTATCCCTGCCCTAATGCCAAAGTAACTGGCAACTGGCAAATATGTGTCTAAGACATCTATTTGATGTCTATGTCTGGATCGCTGCGTAAAAAGGAGGGTTTCTGCCCCATTACTTCTCTTCTTAATTCTATAAGAATAAAACACGGAGGACGGAGATCTCTTTTTCTCCCCCTCTTCTGACAGCCCAGCAGCTGATCTCAGAGCACGCTCCCCTCTCCTGCAGGGGGGCGTGGTCAGCTGCAGCTCACAGAATCAGCCCCCTGCAAAAACAGCGCTGGAAAGAGCAAATAGAGCTAAATGAGGCATGGGTAAAATGCAGGATCTGTTTGGTATTTTGAAAAAAAAACTATATTTATATACCTTATATAGGTATGGCCCTACAATATATTGTTCAAATATAGCATGATATGTCCCCTTTAAGTTATGGAGGTGTGTGGTTGTTTACTTATACTGCATGTACTGCGTCACATTTTAAAGGCAATAGAACAATATAAATAAGTATATTAAAACAAATGTGGTGGGACTCTCGTTTTTGACCTGGAAAACCTAGAATACATTCACGAAAACCCCCAGTAAATCTTCCAGCTATTCAATGTCTGTCATGCCTGGGTTCAAATCCTTGCTGGTCCATGGAACATTTAGGCTTCAATTTACATTATCACTGGGACTATACATATATTAATTTTTAGTTTATTTTTTTGCCCTTAATAATGACTCAGCCTTAATTATCTATCAGAAGAGTTTCCAGAGTCGTAGAAAGTTACAAAGATTGTTTTCGTCTGATTTGTGTATTTTTCAGGAATACAAATGTAAAAATAGGACCAGCAGATTACCTTGACAGCCACCAGTATCTTCTCCTGGTCAGGTGAGAGGTTGTAACACTCGGCCAGGAAGACTTTTCCAAAGGCTCCTTCTCCCAGCTCTCTTTTGAGCACGATGTTGTGTCTCTTAATGTGCTGGACGACTGTGGAAAAAGACAAAACACAGAAAAAAAGAATTACTTAAAAGTTGGCCAACTTGGTTTTGAAACACTTTGTAAGGCAGTTTAAATAAAGTCCCAAAATCCACTATTCTGCCACTGTTCATTCTATAGCGTCAGTTATTAAACTTTGATCATTATTTGTAATGAATCCCGTCAATTAATAAGTGTGCAAGCAAAAACATATATTTCATGTAGATCTATACTCTTTTTCAATAAAAAACATAGCTGCAGAGGGTTCTATCTCTACTGGCTATAGGTGGGAAATATGGTAAATAAATGGGGATTTTATACCATTTGGAAAATGTTTTTCAGTTTAAATTCTAAAAAACATGTCTCCCTCTCTATTTCATGCACTTAATTTCTCCCACAGTTGAATCAGAGTCGACAGACCAGCTCTCTGTTGCTAAGTAACTTGTGACTCCATGCCAGCTTTTCTTTTTTGGGGGGGGGGAATGTTGGCATCATATCATGGTGATAATACGAGATGTTGTTCTTCTGAACAGCACAGTGCCCTTACTATAACCTGGCTAAGCCCTGTCTTTTGACTCCGAGCCAGATGTGCACCGGCCTGCAAGGAAACACGGATTATCACACACACACACACACACACACACACACACACACACACACACACACACACACACACACACACACACACACACACACACACACACACACACACACACACACACACACTCTCACACACACACACACACACACACACACACACACACACACACACACACACACACACACACACACCAGAGGACACCAAGAGATGAGATTTATCGGTGATGTGATTAAGAGGCGCATTTGAAGAAAAGCTGTCCACTCAGAATATCACATTAAAGCCCAGCTAGATTCTCAGACGCTACATCGATCTACACTGTGAGCTACTGAGGTCCACCATAACCTAATATTGTACAGACAGAGGGGGGAGGGGGAAAGGGGGGGAGAGAGAGAGGGAGAGGGAGAGAAAGAGAGGACAATTGGGGAAAAAGTCTTCATCAGATAATTTAGCGCATCTTATTTGCAGTGTAAAATTATCGTGGAGGAGAACACAACCATGTACAATTTGCACTATACTGTATGTGCAATGCCTGCAGAGGCCCACATGCAGACATTGCACATACAGTATACAGTATACAGTATGTTCATACGGTCTCCTACAAATCTTTCTCTACTCTACTAATTTGCTTTACCCGTTGGTCATGGAAGATGCTGAGTTTGTCACAGCAGGGCTTTGATAAATTGGAGTTTACATCCCTGTGGAGTGGTTACCATGGGTTTTGGCAAAAAAAGTACTTTTGTTAAGGTTAGGATCAGTTTTTGGTTTAATGTTAATGAACAACTAATGATGTATTGTGCTGACTTTGTTAGAGCAGGGCCTTACATCCCTGTGGGGTGGTTACTGTGGGTTTAGGCAAAAAAATGCATTTTGGTCAAGATTAGGGTCAGATTTTGGTTTAATGTTTAAAAAAACTAATTATGTATTGTGCTGCAATGCACACAGATACATTTATTAATATTCAACCTAGAAGACAATTTGTTCCTAAGTGCTCGAGTGCATAAGTGTCAAGCTTTAGTTGCCACAATCAGATATTGACTCTCGTTATTCTCGTTAAAAATTAAGTGTTAGCATACACAATATATAAAATATCCATTATCATCTGTAGAACTTCAACTTTTAATCATTGTGTTATAATACTTTAACATTGTTATTTTTTTGGCCCCTTTGCCAAACAGTAACGTTGGTTCCTACCTGACCTGTTCATGTTTTATGGGGGACAGGTGTGGGTCAGTCAACATTTTAGCGCGCTTAATATTGAAACAGAGGGACTGGAAGTGTCTACCAACAAAGACAATATATGCCAACAATACTTTGATTGTACCTCGGCAGTGTTGATAAGAAAAATAAAGGTTAATGTCGGGGAATAATTTTGTATACATGTTTACCTTTTGCCCTCTGACGCAGATGCCCAGCCTTGGGCAGCCGCTATCTCCCTCAAGGAGGGGCTGCCCTAGCATTTTGATGTTACCAGTTTATGACCGGGCAACACTCGGTCAGAGATAGTTATTGTTGTGGGACACCTGGAACACATCCTTCTCGGGGTGTAGATGACCCCGTGCCATAAGCGACATACAGTGGTTTGGTGGAAAAGTAGATCTGCAGTTAGTTAAATGGGGGGTACTAAGTGCTGGGCACTAAGTATGGCAAAGCACTTGGTGTGAAAGCGGCTATCGTGTTTATTGGCGGTTGGCAAACCACTTAAGAGTACTAGAGTGTGAAACAAGAATTATTACCTGGAACTACTGGAGGGTTCTTCAGAATTGATTGTGGCATCTCTACCATGTGGTCAAACCGTGGCCCGTGACATGTCTTGTGAATTCTCCGGCCGAAGCTCCAAATAAACCATCAGTGTTTGCCATCAAAGCTCCATCTCTCCTCGTGTCTCTCTTTGAGTCCTGACAAATCCCTGGTTTAACGTAGTCTACCACCGGGCGGGCTAAGTGACCAAATCAAACACACCCTTAAAGTCTCAATGCCAACTTCAAAGATTCGTGTGCATGGCAGATCCTCCAGTATGGAATGCCATTTAAGCCTACATTAAATAAATACATAAATAAATAAATAAATACATATATATATGCCTATGAAATAAATAAAAAAGGTTATGAAATACATTCTGAAATAAATAAATAAGGCAATAAATATATATAAATGTACATTTAAACACACATTTATTTATTTCATGGGACTTTTATTTCATAATGACACATTTATTTATTTCAGGGAACTTGTATTTCATAATGCCACATTTATTTAGTTCAGGGGACTTGTATTTCATAATGCCACATTACATTTCCATTTCTAATATTCAAATGAACGGGGCGTGGTTAGCTCACAGATCCAGACCAAAGCAACAGCACCACAATACTGACTCAATAGCTCTTGTTTCACACTCCAGTACTCTTAAGTGGTTTGCCAACCGCCAATAAACACTATAGCCGCTTTCACACCAAGTACTTTGCCATACTTAGTGCCCAGCACTTAGTACCCCCCATTTAACTCAGTACAGATCTACTTTTCCACCAAACTGGTTCCGGTTCCAGAACCGTTCTTGTGCTTTTCTGGTGCTTAACTGGTTCTTCTCTGCAGTACCACTTGTGTTTCCAGCGCTCAAAGCCCGACTGCTGCAGCATCAAGACCCGTTTACGTCGCTCCCAAACGCCACTCACAACACAAACAATGGGGGACTGCGAAGGCCGTGTTGCTTTTAATCATACGATTACATTAAATTGCTACATCTCAACCCTTATACTTTTCTCCAGAGTGCCGTGGTTCATTGTTTTTTAATGTGGTTCAGCGGCATTTACCGACCGCTGCAGTGCTGCTCGTCCACTGGAGTTTATTCAGCGGCCGCTGTAAAGTCTTCACTGTCTGACTGTCACATTTAAGCAGCTGATAAATATCCCCCCCCCCCCTTAAGTGAATGTGTTTCAGTAGGAATTGACACTGTTATGAAAGTTTCTCTGGTATAAAATAGCAACCGAAGCTAATCTGACTATCTTGACTACTTGTTGTTGCTATCCTATTGTGGCATAAGCCGTTTTCTACAGGCACATTTTTATCATTATGATTCTACTTGTGATAGTCGGACATGACAACCTGTGCAGCCTATGTATTCATTCCATCTGATAGCTATAATACAAAACAAAACGTCTGCCTGCTCTCCACAATGATCAATAACAGCGAACAGATGGTCAAAGTAAGGTACAAATAAACAGAATCACACGAAGCCTGGTTAGTGTTGCCTGACTTTATAAAGTGTGTGGATGCTTTCTAGTCACTTTGCTCAGCGCTACTGCTTGTTACAACTTTCATTTTCTGTACTCGCCATAAACTGTTATGGCTCAGGTTAATCTTGCCCCCCTCCAACATGAGTGTGGTTCTTGGTTCTTGCCGGGCAGCCGAGTGGGGTCAGTTAAGAACCGGTTTTCGATGTTTAGAGCCGCGGCTCCGCTGCGGCTGAAACAGGAAGAACCAGAGCTAAATCAGGCTGTAGCCCGGAACTGGCTCTGGAACCGGTTTGGTCGAAAAGGGGCAGAACCAGAGAAGAACCATTAAGCACCAGAAAAGCACAAGAACGGTTCTTGAACCGGAACCGGTTTGGTTTATATAGTATGACAAAGCACTTGGTGTGAAAGCGGCTATAGTGTTTATTGGCGGTTGGCAAACCACTTAAGAGTACTGGAGTGTGAAACAAGAGCTATTGAGTCAGTGTTGTGGTGCTGTTGCTTTGGTCTGGATCTGTGAGCTAACCACGCCCCGGTCATTTGCATATAAGGAATGGAAATGTGGCATTATGAAATACAAGTCCCCTGAAATAAATAAATGTGGCATTATGAAATAAAAGTCTCTTGAAATAAATAAATGTGGCATTGTGAAATAAAAGTCCCATGAAATAAATAAATGTGTATTTAAATTAACATTTATATATATTTATTGCCTTATTTCAGAATGTATTTCATAACCTTATTTATTTATTTCATAGGCATATTTAAATATATATATATTTATTTAATTTTGGCTTGAACGGCATTCCATACTCCAGGTCCCGTCTGAGTTTATTGAAACATCCTTTACATTCCGTGAGAGTGTGAGGCCGTCCTGCAGCTCTGAAGATAAAAGTGACTGCGGAGCCTTATTCAGCTCAAAATGTTTTTAAACTTCAGCGAGTTTGAGAGGACTTTTGCATTGAAAATAAACGGGCAGATGATGTGAACCTTCAACAAACTGTGGAGGAACTCGCTGTGTGCATGGGTTTCAGACAGGTGCGTAACCTACAACACACACACTGTCAAGGTTATAGCTGGAGCGTCAACGTTGTGTGTGTGCACCTCATTTTGTGTATTCGGCAGCACTTCTGTGTTGTTTGCTGATACATGATTTCTGTTGTCGGATTTGGTGTTGGTTTATG